GGGGAATTGGGGATTCTGAGGGGGGCAATCAGGGGATGGGAAGTGGGAGGGAGTGGATCGGGGTGGGGCAGGGGCGGGGCTAGAGAGGGGCTCCTCCCCCCCCCCCCAATGTCCTCTTTTTTGCTTGTGGAAATATGGTAACCCTAGTGGCCTGGACATTTGGCCCCAAACAACAAATGACCATGGATGGCCTGTCCTCTGTGGGAAGCCAGCCAAGTGTGCCCAGCTGAAGGACAAAGGACTGGGGTGGGGTTCTAAGTGTGGGCTGCTGGAGGCAGGAGAGCAGCTTCTGCACTGGGACTACAGAGGGGTCAGAGGGCTCTGGGACCAACCCAGATGGACCTTTTCGTTTTCTGTGTTAACTAATAACTGTCTGCGCTGTGTTCCAGACATGTAAAAAACCAGGGAGAGTCAATTATTTTTTATTAAGGTCCAAATTTCTTGGTCAAGGCATAGTCAAGGTCCAGAGAAAATAATAAAAAATAACAACAATCATGATAATAAATAAATAAACATATTTCAGGATCTGCTCAAAAGCATCAGGTGGTCCAGTTTTAGCCTCGGTCCGCCTGTTGACTACCCCGGTAATAAACCCCTCTGCTTTTACAATGCTGGTTGAGTCACTCCAGAGTAAGGAAGTGGGGGTACATGGCTCCCTTGGGGCGTACAAGTCTCCCTTGGGTGTCAGCTCAGGGGGGCTTGCTGATGTGAAGCAGGGGTGCTGAAGGCTCTGAGATTCAGAGTCAGGAGGCGGTGAAGCCAAGTGGCTTTCCTCATTGGAAAAAGTGTGACCCTAAGGGGATTGCCACACTAAAGAGCTCCTCCCAGGGGCTGTTCCAGAGCACCGGACTATGGGAGGAAACAGCCTGGAGATGATGGTGCTGGGGAGGGACTAGGCCAGGCCCAGCAGCTCTGCCCGGGGAGTTATTTTGGAGCTGGGGTCACTTTTTCAGCAGGCTGGGGAAGGGGGACCTGCTCCCACCGCCTTACTCTGCTCTGTGACGATGTTGTCGCTGGGCACAAACCAGTGACCCCAAACCAGCCCCGAGAACCATCGTCTGTTTGCAGGAGCAAATCCTGAGCCGCCTGCAGCATTTGCGGGAGGAGAGAGAAGAGCTCCTGGGACTGAAATCCAACTGGGACAAGAAGAGTGAGAGGCTCCTGGTAGGTGCCCTGCCCTGCCCAGCCGGTTTGCACAGGGGTGTCAGTGAGAGCAGCGGAGGATCTCTGCTGGTTGGGGTCTGGGCGGTGCAGAAGGTTAAAGGTTTCCAGGATCAATGCAGGGAGACGGTTCAGGGTCATTTTAACCAGTGCGGGGCAGCGTCTGCTCTCAGGTGCCTGGTGTACATCAGAAGTGACTCCACCGAAGTCAGTGGGGTCAGGGTCAGATTACTCTGGGATCCTGGGGTTAGTTCCCACTGGAGTAAAAGGGTTCACCCCAGGGTAGCTGGGAGCAGTCTCTGGCTCTCTAGTGCTGGGGGGTGGGGAGGGCACGGGGAGAGGCCAGTAAAACGGCTGAGCAGGCAGGGATGTGGCAGGGGTCAGGGCGGAGCAGGGGGAGATTTGTGCTGATCCCAGGGTTTGAGTGTCAGACGTTCCAGTGAGGCCACTGGGTGGTTTGGGCAGCACCATTTGCCAAGGCCTGGTCTGCACTTCAACCTGTTGCTGGTACAGCGATCGGGGGGCGGTGATTGATTGTAGGGGGGTTGGTGATTTTTGGTGACATTTTCATACTAGCAAAAGGCCTAGTGCAGACACAGTTACACTGGCAAAGGTATCGAATGAAATGCTCTGTGCAGCCCAGACAAGGCCTTGTACCATTTCCCATGACCCCCACTCAACCCGTGTCCCTGCCCTGCCCCGCCCCTGCGTCTCTCTGCTCACCCCAGAAGCAGACGGAAGTGGAGCGGCAGCTGGTGGTGTCCGAGTGCGAGCGGCTGCGCCAGTTCCTGGCTGAACAAGAGCGCCTCCTGCTGGCCCAGCTGGCAGAGCTGGACGAGGAGATGGGGACGAGGACGGAGGAAAATGCCACCCACCTGGGTGAGGAGATTTCCCGGCTCAGCGCCCTGATCACGGAGCTGGAGGGGAAGTGTCAGCAGCCCGTGCTGGAACTGCTGCAGGTGAGACTGTGTCAGATGCACCCAGAGCCCAGTGTCGGGAGGGGACGGCCCCCAAGACCCTGTAAAGCTCAGTGCAGAGCGTGCGGCCGGGATATCTGCAGGGCCACGGGCTGCAAAGAGAGAGGAGCTCGGACTGTCGGGGAGGTGGTGGGAGGCTGGTGAAAGGCTGTTCCAGTCCCAGGGCTCAGTGCAGGAGGCCCGGCCATCCCTGGAGGGCAGCTCTGCTCCCCCTAGCACAGCCCTTTAGTGCCGCCACCCCATTGGGGGAGCAGCCCATGGGGCTGGGGCTGGGAGAGCAAGAGTGACCCGGCTGGGCCATGGGCACTGACTCTCTGCTCTGTCTCTCCTTCCCCTCTAGGGTGTCAGAAGCGCTGTGAGCAGGTACGTCCGGGCTCCGTCTGCCCCTCACACCCTGTCGGGCTGGGAAGAGACTCAGAGCCCAGGCTGCAGACCCAGTGCCCCAACTATGGGAGGGTCTCACCCTCTGGATCCAGCCCCCCTCCGTCCCCATTGCCCTGGGGCTGCTGCCACTGTGTCTGTGTGACCCACCCTGGGGAGGGGATTGCCCCACTGCTCTGGCTGGAGACCCCTCCCTGGGACCAGGCTGGCTTGGGTGATTATTCATGGGGCTGGGGGCCTGTCACCCTGAGGGCCCAGCTGGGACCTGGCCCCAGAGCTGTCATGGCCCAAAGCCTGTCCCGTTTGTTGAGCCCCAGGGGCCTGTGGGGAGAGAGATGAGTGTCCCAGCCCAGGGCCGAGTGGGGCAGAGTCCCCATCCCAGAGCCTCCCACCCCATGAGGAGTGACAGGCCCCTTGGAGGCTGAGAGGAGAAACTGAGGAGAGGCAGGGCCTGGAGAATGGGCCCCTCTCTCAGCCCTGGGATCGGCCCCTCCAGGCCCTAGTGGGGACATGGGACTGGCCGGGTGTGAGGGGAGCCGGGGCTGGCCCTGCCCAGGCTGGGTTTTCTCTCTGGATGGAGAGAGGCCCTCAGTCCCCAGGCCGGCCCCGGCAGATGGTGCAGGCACTAAATTCCCTGGGCAGCAGAGGTCATGGCCCCGTTAGCCCTGCCTGTGGCCCAGCTCCTACCCGCTCCCCGTCTGCCTCTGGGGGGCAGGAACTTAGGGCTGACGAGGGGGAGGAATAAACACACGTCT